GTGGATATTACTAGTATATATCAAAACATGGACATTGATTAATGTATATATATTGGGACAACCCGTCCTAATCCCTTACTGGCCAACTACTATATATGTAACATGTCTTTGGAATCCAACTCTCCTTAAATTTATCAATTTTTTGAACATGAATTGAATAAAGCATATATATGTATATATATATATGAATAAAATGTCAAAATTTTAAGTAGTTTAATAATAATTTTATTTTTATGAAAATAAAAGTATTGAGTTCAAATCACATAATATGATATATAAAATTTGTGTAAATAAATCCTTTTCATATATATATATATATATAATGTACATGAATCCCAATTTCCATAAAAAACTAATCTCAACTTTAAAAATACTACCATTCATTTAATAATTTTTATTTTATAATTAAAAAAATTAAAGCTAAAATCCATAATTTTTAAAAATTTTAAGAAATAATACAAATTTAAAATTATATTAATTACATAATTTAAATCATTAAATATCAGCCAACCACCTAAAACATTAATGAACAACTCTTCTTCCAATAAAAAAAAAGGACTCCTTGGAATTATGGGGTCTGAGTATTAAACTGCCAACCATTAAATCAGATGCCCGCATTATGACCATATAGCACACATGAACACATTATTAGTTGCATGGTCAGGTCACACCAAAAATGCCACCAATTAATAGGCCGAATGAATGATCTAGTAGTTTTGAGTGACCCCATTTGGAAAAATTTTCAATTTGGTGGAGTCGGCCTGGTCCTGGCTGGCGGAGGTTTTGGCATTAACCTTACAATTATAACGAGCGGGGTTGCAGCATGTGTCCCCAAAACACCATTTCTGTTTGACGTTAATTTTTTTTTTTTTTGTCATATTGAAATTAATTATATGTATTAATAAAATGAAAGAAAGAAAAATAGAGTCTGCGAATTTGAATACGTCACTCATAGGAGGTAAACAATTATAGCTCAGGATCCATGCCACTAAATTAGAGCATATTGTTTCTGTTTGACATGGATTTTTTTGGTGTTGATCATCGTATCTAAAAATCATATTAAATTTGATTAATTTGAAATCGAGTCAGGTTGAATCTCATATAAAGGGAAGTTCTCCAAACGCCTATTTTTCTATTCACAAAATTGAAACTCAAAATTTTATTTAAAGAGAATCAAATTTTTTTTATTTAAACTAATAATTTATTGGTGTTCATGCTTAACGTTAATTGAGATTGAATATAAAAACCCTTTAATCAATGCTTTTTGCCTTTTATAATTGTTTGCCTACCGGCGATGCAAAGAATGTCCTGGATGTTGCCAGAGAAGGTAAGGGCTCTCTTTTGAAGGATTTGATGAAACTGATTAAATATGTAATTATTATATTTTTTATATTATAATTAATATTAAAAAATAAAAAAATTGACATTAATTTTTATTGTAAATGTTATTTGAATTGATTAATTAATTAAATAAAAATAAAAATTTATTTTTTATATTAATTAATGTAAAAAATATAATAATTATACTATTAATTTATATCTAAAAACACAAGTTAGAAAGAATTCAATTTTAACACGGAAGTTTAACTCGCAAAAGCAGAGGTATATCAAAACATGGATATTGACTGAAGTATATATATTGGGACAACCCGTCCTAATCCCTTACTGGCCAACTGCCATATATGTAATATGTCTTTGGAACCCAATTCTCCTTAAATTTATCAATTTTTTGAACATGAATTGAGTAAAGTATATGTGTATATGGACAAAATGTCAAAATTTTAAGTAATTTAATAGTAATTTTATTTTTGTAAAAGTAAATGTATTAAATTTAAATTATGTAGCATAAAAGTGAAATGGGTTAAAAAAGAAGAAAAGATTGTATCTCATTGCACAATTTAAAGTTAAAAAAAAAAAAAAAATAGAACAATGCATTACGCATGACTTTCTAATTAAGCATGCCAAATTCGACCCTAATTAATGTGCCCGTTTATGTCCACTTAGGTTGCTTTCCATTTATCTTCGTTTTTGTGAGGTAATTGGATGGATGTAAGACCTAATTATTTATGTGATGAGAAAGCTATCCTTGATTTTTCTTGTAGATGCTTTATATATGCCGTTGTTATGTTCTATTATTATATATGTTAAAAAACGGACACAAAACGTTAACGCATACCCAATACAAACAAAATAATACTTTTCTTTATGGTATGACAACTTTCTAGCTATCACTTGCCTGTGAGTCTTAAAAGGCTGAGAAAATGAAATGAAATGAAAGCAGTCTCTATGTTTATCTCTATGTTTATCTGATACTAAAATGCGTCAAATTATATATGTTAAATATTTAAGGAGAGGTTGACTGTTTTTTTTCTAAAGAAAAGAAGTGATTTATTAATCAAAAGAGATGTAATACAATTGCACAAAAGAGGCAATCTAATCATCTAATAGTCTTTGTTGGAAACAGAAAAGAAGAATAATAATTTGAACAAAAATGTTTATTGCAATCTGATTAGATCCAGCCCAATCAACATCAGAGTAAGTGCAAAGCACAAGGGAAGAGTTTACAGAAAAATGGAGTCCATGAAACAATGTTCCCTTAACATAATGAATAATACAAAATACTGTTGCATAATGAGTGGGGTGAGGAGCAACCATAAATTGACTAATAATGTGAATTGCATATGCTATGTTAGGGCTTGTTGTGGTAAGATAAATCAGACTACCAACCAATTGCTGATAGCGAGTAGGATAAAAAAGTGGAGAGCCATCCATAGGTGTAAGCTTGACATTAGGTTTAAGAGGTGTAAAAACACTCTTACTATCACTGAGTTCAGCTTTAGAAACAAGATCGGAGGCATACTTTACTTGAGAAAGTAGGTAACCATCATCTAAAGAGGTGACTTCAAGCCTTAGAAAATAGCTCAGAACACCAAGATCTTTCATCTTAAATTTCTGACTGAGAGATTGTTTTAGGTCTTTAACACTTGCAATATTATATGTAGTAATAATTATCTCATCAACATAAAGAAGTAAAAGAACAATACCTTGAGTAGTCTTATGGATGAATAGAGTTGTATCATATGGACTGGAAGTAAAACCAAACTCACTCATAGTAGAACTAAACATTGCATACTCGGCTTGAGGGGATTGCTTCAACTTGTATAATATAGTTCGTAATTGGCATACCTTGTTTGGAGGATGGTT